CGCTCAAACCAAAAAAATGGTAAACAAAATAAAAAAAAAAAAAAAAAAAAAACCACCCAACAACAAACAAAAAGCTATATGGTAAATATTAAATATTAGAAATAAATTTTATAGGCAAGAACTTCATAAAAGACGAGTTCGAACTTCGGTTCATAAAAGACGAGTTCAAACTTTGGTTCATAAAAGACGAGTTCGAACTTTGGTTCAGTTCAGTTATTTAGAGGATAAAAATGAATCAAACTTGCTCAAACTCAAAACCGAGGTTTAGTATGGTTGGAAACCAAGCGGTCCAGCTCTGCTCGTTCGGAAAAAAACCGAACCAACAATAATGTATTTATTTTAGCCGTTTATAATAGTGAAAGGGATGAACTAAAGAATATCTGTGCTAAAAGTGAATTAGACCAAAAAAAACTTCAAAAGAAGGGAGTCCGAAACAAGCCATTGTCATTCAGCCCATATGTGAGAATCTTTGATGCAACAAGGATGTGCTTATTACACAGATGCCGAAATGCTCACAGGATAAGATCGAATAAAATCTCTTGCTCGGCCATCGCGATTATGTGTCTAAACTAGCTGAATTTTGCTTAGGTCAGTTTGGACTTCTGACTTCTTGATCGAGCATAGAGATCGACTTGAATTTCTGACCTTTTAAGACAGTATATAGAGAGTGCTATAATCAGGTTGGCCATCACCAATGGAACATATTTACAATTCATTTCAGCTCTAAACCCCCTTTCCACAGTGCAAGTCAAAGCAGCAGGTGGTATGACCCATTCTTGGAACAGCTATAGATATCACAACTCAAGTGCTGATTCCTATTTCTTATTGCCCTATTTGTCGTGAAACATAAGTTTCACCTACATGCTCAAGTTGAGAAGAGATATATACTTAGTAATTGAAAGGAGGCCATTCGGGGTAACTTATCTCGTTATCTTGCTCACGATTGGTAGATGCGCGGCCATTTCTACCGATCCTGCTGCTGAAACGAGTGCCTGCACTTTGAGGAGTAAAAAAGTCTGGAAATGCAAACCTCCTCCTCAGGATAATCTCTCTCTCATTTGAGACTTCACCGTTACTGCTACTGTTCCCTCCCCAACCGTGCCTGCTATCCTGCTGAGGCAGCTCGAGTCGACAAACCGGGCAGGTATTGTGCTGGACCAGCCAAGGAAGAATGCAATCTGCGTGATAGATATGATTACACGGCATCTCTTTGGCTTCAGATCCCAGCTCAAATTTTTCTTTACAGACTGGACAATGAGTGTCTGTGCCAAGGTGCATTTGGTTGATCTTGATTGTAGGCATTGCTTCTATAGAAGAGTGAGAAGCAGGAGTTGGAACTGGATCCCTTTGTTCGTTGAAAGAAAGTGCAGCTAATGCTTCCAGCGCCACATGCTGACTCGATCTACCTTCTGGAGCGACACTAGCGAAGGATGGACCAGGAGCATGTTCGTGGAATGACCAAAACGAATTGAAAATATCCAAATTCTGCCCTGGGATAGAATTGGATCTCCTCCTTACGTCGATGTTCGGATTTCTTCCAGCCATTCTTTCTCTGGTAAGAGCATCAACAGCTTCGTCAAGAAGTCTAAACCTTGGATACGGGTTTCTTCGCCCCATCAATGCAAACATGGCTTCAAAAATTGGAGGCACCTGGCTTGAAAGATCATCTTCTATGGCTGAATGGAAGTCATCTTGAACCGCGTCATCGTGTACATCGTTAAGCTCTTCAATGAAACCACCATTACAGTAAGGGCAAGCTATGTCCTCGCCATTAAGCCAGAAGGAACGGTTGCACTGATAGCACCAATGAGTGTCTTCCCCACCAGATGACATCCTCCTTTCAAATGCAAAACCTAAAAGAAAAGCCCAGGTTCTGTACCTAAAAGTAGAGGACGCTGCAATGAAATGCTCATTGCTTAAGAAAATCAATTGTGAAGACAAAATCAAACATTCATCCACAAGAAACTAATGCATGTGAACAACTAATTTATAACAACGATTCATCCTAGCAATAGCTTTTTGAAATCAAGAATAATTTGCCAATGGATACAATTTGGAAAAAAAAAAAAAATCAAACAACTTAGTTAAATTCAGAAAATGTCCTGAAAATGGAGACATATCTGGTGATGATTTCATTGAAGATTAAAAAAAAAATAGTAAAGTAAATGTCACGAAGGTAGTTCATAAGTCTTACAAAAAAAAACCGAGAATATAAGAAAGGATTAGAGTTGTATAAGCTTAGCCCAGCCATGCAAGCGGCCTCCAATTAGTTTGGAAAGGGATCTAGGTATATACTCATTGATTGGATTCTCAACCATTCAAGATAAAGGCAGAGTGAAATTACACTTAACTGCCTATTTCTTCACCTATATATCGATTTGGTCCATGTACTTTAAGAATGTTTGTTTGATTAAAGATTACCAAAAATCCTCCATGTTCAGATGAGGATAACATTAATCCAATGTAACAAACTGCTTTGATGCTGTGAGCATCTACTGGGTCCATATTAGTTGAAAAATATAAATTTGGGCAACGCTAAAAGTATCATTTTGATTGAAAAATTGATCTTACAACATTAGGCATGGGATTCTTCGCAGTTGATAACGATTGAATGAGCTTTGACAAATAAAAGGTAAAAAGAGAGAAATGGAAACATATGACCTAAAAATGAAGTTTAGCTATAAGAAATGACAAATCCCAAACACAATCATGTGGCTTAATAGGCTAAAAATTTCATCATTTCAGCTTGATAGCAGGCAATTAATAGGAGTACGTTCACTGTCTCCATTTCTTCTGACAAACTTAGAGATGCAGAATCCACATGATTCCCACATTTCTCGTCTCTCACAACCAAAGGAGACAATCTCCTGTAGCTGAGAGGAAATTCCCTCATTACAGACACCATCTCCTCAAAACATAATCATCGCTCACACTAGACTTTCAATCCGTCATCCGATTTAAACAATCGCACAAGTAAACAATCGAAAATCATCGAAATTAAACAGAATCGCGCCAGAGATCAAATCAGTCACTGAGTTCAGATTATTTCATGCATCAAACAACGATCCAATACCGATACAGAATCAATCAAATACGAAAGATGCAGAAACATAACCATCCCAAATTTGAAATTGAACAGGAATTAAAGTAAAGAAAAACGTACCGGCGTTGAAGTAGACGCAGTGCAAGCTACGGAAGAGGGAGAAACATGAACAGTGGGTGACGATTTGGATCAGGGGGAGAGAGAGAACGAGAGGACCTTGAGCAACAAAAATTGCTCCGCGGGGTCCAGGCCTGTTCCGATTGACTGATTCACCGAACTTGTAAATGTTTTTTCCTTAAAAAAAAAATAATAATAATAAATTAAGTTTATTAACATGATAATTATTTTTATAAATTAAACTCTAAAAATAAAATTAATTAATGGTAAAAATATTTTTGAGATTTTTTTAAAAATTTAGAAATATTTGTAAGAGAAAATATAAAATTTAGGGATATTTTTATTAATTTAAGAATAATTATAAATCAATTTAATCATTTTTTCATTTTAAATTAAAATTATTTATGAAATTTTTAATCTCCATAAAATGTAGCACGTGCGAGGAGGTAATTAGCGCGCTATGTTCCTCGGCGGAGAGCGAATCTGACACGTGCGGCCTTCCCGATTTCCACAGCACTTCGTTTATGCGATTTTTTTTTATTCCATTTATTTTCGCCAAAAATTATATCAGATCGACTTTTTCGCTTCGTTCTGGAAAACCCTCCGTGGATTGGATTCTCGTTGATTTTCTCTTCCTCTTACATCGACGACCATGGCCGAACAACTCACTGATGATCAGATCTCCGAGTTTAAGGAGGCGTTCAGCCTCTTCGACAAGGATGGCGATGGTGGATTTCTTTTTTATTTCTTCGTTTTTTTTTTTTTTGGATTAATCTTGGTTTGATGCGGTTTTGAGCTTTGTTTTCTTTAGATCTGACTGTTTGTTTTGTTTTGTTGGCGGTGTTTTGTGCTTGATCTAGAGTTTAGGTTGTTTTGGTTGCGGGATGGATTGGATTTTGCTACTGGTTTGGGTGATTTTTTAGTGAGGATTAAGTGTTGTGGATTTGGATCTGGTGTGATCTCGTTGTTGCGTGTTCGTGTGTGCTCTCTCTTTTTGGTTGTTGATTATATTTGTTTTTGGAGCTCTTTTAGGATGGCGATCTTTTAATAATGTGTTGGAGAGTTGTTTTCATGAAATGATTCTCCACGGTTCGTGGCCGATGATGTTTGCGTTCTCTTGTTTGGTGTGCATGAACGAATTTTTCTCGTGGTAATTAAGATGTGTGATGTGATATGCTAATTGGATTTTTGGAATGAGAAAAAATGTTGTTGCTCATTTTCGTTTGTTTCATAGAGATTCAACAGCTTGAACTGGAGTTTGTTTGAAAGATTAGAATGTTGCATTCTAATTACTTGTCAACTCCGATGAGTTGATTTATTGATGGATGTGATTTTACAACTGTTGTTGCTGGCGAAACTATTGCAAGAGGTTTGAGTGCACATTTTTACCTGCCCTTGGTATGCTAGAAATGCCTAAGGTGTTTAATTTAGGTTTGAATTTCAGTAATTTGCTGAATAATATAAATGGAAATGATACTTTTTATCTCCTTTGCTTTCTACAATCTTCGGAATTTCTGGCGATGAGGTATGATGTTTTCGTGTATGGTCGACGTCTAAATTGTACAAGTTCGTAGAATGATTGATGAGTTTTCCCTTTGTCTGAACTTTGACTAGATTTATGTTTCATTCTTGTCAATCTCTTGAAACCAATTTCTTATCTATGGATACATAGACTAGCTATAATTATCAGCCCCTGTCCCTCTATGTTCTATAAATTTGTTCTTCCCCTTATCTTTCTTGGCTTCTTTTTAGGACATTTCGATCTGATCCTATCATATAAGATAATTTTACATTGGAATGATGCAGGCTGTATCACCACCAAGGAGCTTGGGACTGTGATGAGATCACTTGGCCAAAATCCTACTGAAGCTGAGCTGCAGGACATGATCAATGAGGTGGATGCTGATGGGAACGGAACCATCGACTTCCCCGAGTTCCTGAATCTGATGGCCCGGAAGATGAAAGACACTGACTCAGAGGAGGAACTGAAGGAAGCCTTCCGTGTGTTCGACAAGGACCAGAATGGTTTCATCTCTGCAGCTGAACTCCGCCACGTGATGACAAATCTCGGTGAGAAATTGACTGATGAAGAAGTCGATGAGATGATCCGCGAGGCTGACGTGGATGGCGATGGCCAGATTAACTACGAGGAATTCGTTAAAATCATGATGGCTAAGTGAGAGATTGACAACATGAAAAGGGGAACCTTATAGAGGCTAAGAACCGAGAGAGAGGTTAGCGCAAAACTATATATATCCTACTGGAGCAATTCAATCTAGGATGCTTCTTTTTCGTGATACTAGCTTTAGTTGGTTCTCTCTTGTTTGCAGAATTTATGGTACTGTATTCCGTTATTGTTTGCTGTGTCTTTTTTTCTCTTCTTTTCTTTCCATTTTCAGTAGATTAGATAGTGGGGTCTTCTATCATTAATATTTGCTGTGTTCTTTGCTGTTTTCTTTTGCTCCCCAAGATGTATTTCGACCTGTTGTTAATGTTTGAATATTTATTGGGTGGGATTTTCTTTGATCACATGGCTTCCCAAGATGTAATGTCCTCGAGCATAGGGCTAATATCGCTTGCGCCCATCTTCGAGGCATAAACTTGCAGGTGGCTAATATGTGTCCTAAGTAGGCGACCATCGTAACTTGAAACTACTTGTTTTATTACTTAGTGTTGATCTTGATATCAATATAGATTCAACTCTGTTATGGTACTTGCAAATATGAAAAAAATAAGATTATGAAAATGATCATCAAGAATATGAGACAAAAGAATTTATGGTGCTGCAAATATGACTTTTCCGCCATGGCTAAAACCATAATCAAATGTCATGTCGAAAGAAGAAAATTATAATAAAATCAAATGATAAGTAAACGATCGTGGAGGATTATAATAAAAAAAATGGCATATAAGAAGAAATTTTAATAAACCCATGAAAAATAAATGTGGCTTTTATGTTTTTTTTTGTTTCCAATCAAAGAAATTCGATAAAAAGAGAAGGAATAAGGAAGAACAAAAAAAAAATTAGATTGAGAGCGAGTCCACATTTGATTTTCATTACAAACATGCACACATACGACGCGCACTCACACGCACGCATGTACTAAAACACGCGCACACAAGCACGCACGCAAGCAAACGTACACATAAGTTGAGAATGCAATAGTGAATGTATCCTTGATAAATTTTAAGATCTACCTCAAACAATTTTTAAAGGTATAGTTGCAGACTCCATGAATTAGCGATCAAGTAGAAAAGGACCTGCTGGTTTCTTGTCTTTCTGGAGTAGAGTTACCTTACTCGGAACCATACTTCCTACCGCTAACACTTGTCCTGCGCGTTGCAGCGCAACCAAAGCCACATTGTGGCGGGCCTTGTTCATCTTTCCAAGGCCCCTTTGAGATCTATCCAAATCTAGTACTATTGCTACAGTCAGAGAAAAGGTAATGAAACCTTTTTGGCCAAGCAGTTCTATAAAACAAAGATTTCTTCACAGATTGAAGAAATATTGACTAGAATTAAGAGTGTTTGTTGCAAGCAAACTTTGGGCAAGCAGTTCTATAAAAACAAGATTCCGTAGCTCGTGATCCTTTACAGAGTTCAGCGTGAAAAATCAATCATAACTACCTGTTCAACGGTTTGTAGAGGACGACGGTGACATACTTTGAATGGAACCTATGAGTAAGTCCCAAGGCAACCACAGACTGAGAAGCCCACCCTTTCTCAATGAAGAGGTGGTTAAGCACAACATGTTGAGGCTTTGAGGATGATGCTTCATCAGCATTCTCCATACCTAGAACCGTGAGGTGCAGCTGCGATGGCACGGCTGCTGGCTCCTTGGCGAAGTCTTCCTCGCTAGGGAACACCTGGCTGTAAGTTGTCTCCGGTGATGGTGGAGCCTCGAACTCGGCCAAGCTCTGTAGAATATCAGGCGCGCTATCCTACAAAACAGAACCAACTCCAAGATGAAGAATGAATATGAATTATTTGACCAGTTGGACCTTTGCATCTCTTTCTAAAGTAATTTTGTCCATGAGTATTCAACATTTAACAAGATGCATACGGTAAAATATGATGTGAAACATAATTGATTTTGCTTTTGATCCAGAAAAGTTAATTGAGTTATGCTGATTATCAATAGAATATGAACTCGGATGATAAACGCATTCGAGAAACATAAGAACAGCCTAGAACCTCCTATCCTATCCCATTCTAGTTCTATGATCTGCGTGCTTGACCAGCCATTACTAATATGAAGCGTGTGTATGTGTTATATTTTTCTTTTGTAGCTCAGCTGCTAGCACTTTATGGACAACTACTCTAGTCCATGTATTTTCGTTCCTCTTCCCGTATCTATCGAATAATCTACTATAAAACAATCGATTAGCAACTCCTGACAAGCAAGAAGACATGAAATATATTACATTTGTGCTATTTACAAACCGAATGAATGTGTTTCATTGCACAAAAGAAAGGACAAGAGAGCCTGTCTAAGCCAACATCGATGCATCTTCCCGTTTCGATGTATAATTTTCTAATTGACATGTCTAGATTTATCGTTTTTCTCCCTTCCAAATATCATAAAATCAAGTAACCAAATGAAAACCAGATGGAAGCTAGGGCAGTTCTCTGTAGAGTAAAATATGCATGACATGATAAAGAAAATACTTTCCGAGTCGTATCCAGAGCTTCTACAGTTGCTAGATCGAGGATCAAAACAAAATTCTCAAGTACTTGTGTTTATATATATATAATCACGTGGGTGTTCAAGAAAAGTGTTAAAAAAGAACTGTTCCAGGAGATTTTGGCATCATTCAGACCAGCCAACAGATTTGTAAGCACATGTCGTTGCTTCTTTCCTATGCTCTATCCTTTTATTCCTTCTCTTTTCTTTTGGAACTTGTATGGTCATAATCTGAGACAGTAAGATTGTTTTGGCTATCTGAGTTTCTACACAACTTTAGGGTCTTGGGGAGTGGAGAAGAATCCTCATTCTTTTCTTTGGTCATTTTCCAGGTTTAAAACTAAAAATATCTAAAGATATCTATATCCAACGTATGAGTGAAGACCAATGATGTGCTGGTTCAATGTGTAAATAATCATCCATTAGTTAACCATTTATTACACATTACTAAGGTCGCATTTATAAACCTCATCAAGCCTTGGAGCTTACGTTAGAAGAGCAAAAGGCCCGGGGCTAGGGTAAGCTGAGGGGGGACCGCGTAAGTGAGCAAATGTGTGTAAGCCCACAAAATGGAAAGAGTTCCTTTCTTCCTCAAATTGGATTAATGTCGTCCAACTGGAAATTTGCCTTGCTTTTCAGGTATTGCCTACAATAAATCGAGCAAGTACTTTTGCACACTTGGTAATTTCCATTTCACAAACTATAAACGCATCATTCGTCAATATAAATAATGAATCGAGTTCATAGTTCATGCCTACTGGATGGTAATGATAATGCAGATGGAGGCAAGAATCACACTTACAGAAACATTGAGAAGATTAAAGACATTGCCCATCTCATCAGCTATGTAAGGAAGATCTGGAATATATCTCTTTTGACCATCGACGATGAACTTGTAATGATATACTCCAGATGGAAGGACGATAAGTATCGAAAAATCTTTACCAGTCCTCTGCAGGGTCTTCCTGCAGAAGCAGTGTAACATAATATTTCATTACTTATTCAAAATGCAACGGAGTCATGAAGCAGGCTCGGAAGAACCGCGACAGCCCAGAAGCGATGAGAAATAACCTGGATGCCCAGTTGTCCCAAGACCCCTCAATAGCCACGCTGCTGCCACCGTAGCTCCACGTAATAATCGTCGGGATCCCTTGCTCTGGAGGATTATCTACAGTTTCATGGAACTCGTTCTGCCAAGCTTCATTGTAATGGGTTGGACCATTACCTCCTTGCAAGGGAGCTACAGGAACCTGCAAGTCTTGTAGTATATAACCCACCATCATTACAAAAGCCATAACCAAAGCTAATCATCATACAAATTTACATTTGGATCATCTCAAAAAACAAGTTCAACTTATAATCTAGCCAAGATATTTGCCCAACAAGATCAAATCTGGAACTCACTCACTAAACTCAATGAATATATTATCAAGGCTTTGATCAAAACCGAAGTAATATTCAACTCCATGACAGACTTGATTCTAGCAACCAACCAACTCTAATGAATTAATCAGTAGTTTGAAGGGGATCAGGGTTAAGAGAGTAATCCCAGCTGTTCATATACAAACTGTAATGGATCAGACATTTCGGCCATTAATCTCCAAAGAACACAGCATTAAGCAGATGATCCAAAGCAAAAACACAAGAAACAAACACTCAACATTATGGAAACAGCGGGGAGTTAATCTTAGTCAAAGTAGTCAACGAAGTGGATCTTGGAGTGGAACTTCACCATTTACGACTATTGCAATACAGCGATCTTTATAAAGAAATTTCCCGGGAAACACAACTTCCACCGAACAATCAAAAACAAAAAGAAGAGATCGACACATAAACACAGTACACAAGAGCGAGAGAGAGATTATATGAAGAAGAACGAAATAGTGACCTGAGGAGCGAACAAGATCGGGGATCGGAGGTTCCCAGGGCTACCAGGAGGAGTATTTACCATCGAATCTGAAGAAACGACGTTACTCGTTTCACTAACCAGCGAACTGTCAATCACCGAACCTTGTCCATCGGCGTCGGCTACCGCTCCTCCACCACCGCCGGGAGAACTCTCCTCTCGACCATTGGCATTTCCCATCAACCTAATAAACGAAACGAGTCGCGGAATTCCAACCGACAGAGGATCGTGTCGTAATCAACATTCAAACGCTTTGAAATTACTGGATCAATAAGAGGGCCAATTGGATGGAAATTTGCATTCCAATCCAACCCCTAATTTGGATTATGCGAGTGTTCGTTCGTTGATTTCGGGAAGCAGCAGCAGCAGCAGCAGAAGAAGAAGTAGAAGAAGAAGAAGAAGAAGAAGAAGACAAGGGGAGTTTTAGAATAGATATGCCCCACGAGAACTCAGCTGCAGGCGAGATGAGAGAGACGACTTTCTCTCTCTAGATTTGATGTAGGGAAGAGGAAAATACCCTCCGGGTTTGGTTTATTTACGGAAATTGCCACTCTGATCTGATGTGGACGCCACCCGTTAGGCTTATCTTCTTATTTTGTTTCTCTCACCGCTGGCTTAGGGTTAGTCGCCGACCACCAATTCCGCCGCCGCCAAAGTCAACTGGTTTCGTTGACTTTTTCAGATTTCATTTATTGTAAATAAATAAATAAATAAATTTAGTCCTTACCCTTTTTAAAATTACAAATTTGTCCATATGTTAAATGAAATAAAATTCAAAATAAAAATACTTTTTTTTAATACAAATTTGGCTAAATAACGTGTAAATATGAATATATTAAGGTATAAAGATATTTCTATTTTGAGATTATAAATTTAAAAACTATAATTAAATCCACCCAAATTTAAATGTATTGTTACAGTCTAGCATTTATCTAAAATAGAGTATTTATATTTATTTTAACTTATCCCGCTCGATTTTAGTCTCGTATAATTTATCTAATAAACAATAATATGATATGATCGAGGAAAATTTTAAATCTATAATAATTTAATTGGTAGGTTTATTTGACATTAAATTTATTATTATTATTTAATAAATGATAATAAAAAAGATATTTTCGTGGACTTCTAGGATTGTAAAATTAGAATAAATAAAATAAAAAAAGGGAAAAGTAAAGTAGATAAGGATTTGGGATGCTGCCTTATCCACTTATCAAACGTGTAACATTTATTTAATTATTTAATTATTTAATTATTTAATATAATCCTACGATCATTACATGATTGATTTGACTAGCGAACTAATGTAGTATATATATATATATATATAAGTCTTAACAAATAAAAAAAATGTCATAATTTGGAGTAATTTTTTTTTTAGAGAAATAAATTTATCCGCAAGAGACATGGTGTTGGCTCTCCACTGCTTCGGGGCCCTATAGTCTAGCGAGGCACATGCGCATCATTGTGTGGGCAAGCGTCATGGGACGAGCGGTCTTGGACGCCTTCCTTTGAAAAGGGTCTTTCAAGGACGGTACAGGTGTGCTGGTATTACGCCACAATCAATGTGTTTGAGGTTGGATTGTGCATTAACTAGCTATCTGGAATGTATGTTTGTAAATGGTTGAGCACAGGCACCGGAGGGTTTGATGCTCGAGTGAACTTGGATGAATGGATGTTTGGGATGTTCTGATAAGATGATTGACACATGGGTCAATTCTCAATGGAACGACATCACGATGCATGAGTCCTGTTGTTAGGAACCAAAATGACGATGAGATGTAACGTTGTTGCGTCGTAATGATTGGACATGCACGCACGAACAACGTGTGTAGCCGATATTTAATTTAGAAAGTGACTCGTCATGAACCAAAATGACAATCAACGATCATCATGTGTTAATCTAAGAAGTGCCTGCCTTTTCTTCGGACTTAAAATGAAGCTGCTTCTTTTAAAGCTTCTTTTGATTAGCTTTAAGCTCGATTGTGGCGTTTGTGAAAGCACTTTTCCACATGTTGAACAACATCTGCAATCACAATTTCCAAAAATTTCAATAAAAACGTAACTTAATGAACAAGAAATAAGTCAAGATTTTCGACCCGTTTGACTTTTTGAGATTTTGAAAATAGTTTATTTCCCGTTTCATAATTTCGAGCAAAGTTCAGTATATTACGATAATATTGATTGAATTTCAGTCTTAACTGTTATGCTATTAAACATGTTTTTGAACTAAATCCTTATTTTCAGCGACCATCTCAAATTCAAACACTACAGAGAATGCTACGAAAGAAAGGAGAAAAACGACATAGGAATGAAAGAAAATTCGGTACCTAAAATCGCCATTGTTTTGGATTTTACCGGCGTTGAGACAGTGAGAACACCAATCCATCTGTACGTTGAAGAACAGAGAAATCAAATCAAATCCCCTGAAAAAAAACACGAAAATTTGTGGTAATTATTCGAAGAATTCGTCATTTACAAATGTATTTAGGATGGCTATTTCGAGATTCTAAAATATATAAAGGATTAGTTAGTTTGAAGATAGAAGATTCCTCCACAAGTCCCTTGGAGAGCAAGTTTCATTTCTCACTTATTTTTTGCATTTTATTCCTTTAATAATTTTAAATTGCATTTTATTTTTTTTTTTCTTTTTAAAAAGAAATATATATAATTTTTAAATTAACTTTAATTTTTTTTTTTTTTATAAATTTGTAGAGCAAACGTCAATTATTTTTAATTATACAAAAATTAAAATAGTTAGTGATTTAATAAAAAAATTTAAATTTTAAAATCTTTTATAACATTATCGAGTCATATTTTAAAATAATAATTACTTTTTTTTAGAACTAAAATAATAAATAAGTTTTAGTGTATAAAGTTGTTCATGAAAAATATGGTTTTATTTTAATGAATATCTCAAATTGTTTTAAAAATATTTTAATTTAATTCATAATTTTAAGCCAACCATCTTTAGCTGTCTATTTGACTTTTATTTTCTAACTTGGACTTGGTCTCATCTCACACAAAGTTAAGATTCTTTAATATTTTTTCACCAATTAATAAATATTACTATTTTTCATTTATTTCAATAAAAATATGATTTATAAATAGAAATGTTGTATTATTACCTAAAAATGGTATGAAAAAACTATATGATGTATAGTTTTAAAGTACTATTTTTGTTTTTTTTTTTCTATTATGAAAAATCCCGACATTTAAAGCAATTTTTATTAGGTTTCGAGATCCTCGAAACATTTTTTTAATTTATTTATTATTTTTATTAATGTTTGAATTTTGAAAATAGTTTTTAAAAGGTCACCTTCCTTTCTCGATTTTAAAATTTACTGTCTCAACCATTTCATTTATTCATTTTTCTATCCGTTAACTAAAGATTCAAAACTCCAATTTCTTAGATATAAAAAATATTAATCATTTAATTGTGATGTCCCACCTTGGTTGGGGAAGAGACAAAACACAAGGGTGTGGAAACTTCACCTAGTAGACGCTTTCTAAAAGTCTTGAGGGGAAACTCGAAAGAAAAAGCCTAAAGAGTACAACATCTACTAACAGTGGATCTGGGCCAGTTTCTTGAAGGGGGTAGACACGAGATGGTGTGCCAGTAAGGACGCTGGGTCCCTGTAACGACCCAAATTCACCACTGGCAGATGTCTTCTTTGGGCTTTCCCTTTTAGGCTTCCCCTCACGGCTTTAAAACGTGTCTGCTAGGGGAAGGTTTCCACACCCTTATAAAGGGTGATTGGTTCTCCTCCCCAACCAATGTGAGATATCACAATCCACCTCCTTTCGGGCGATGTGGGACCACCACCAAATCCACCCCCTTTGGGGCCCAACGTCCTTACTGGCACACCCCCTCGTGTCTACCTTCCTTGGGGAACAGCGAGAAGGCTGGCACATCGTCTGATGTCTAGCTCTGATACCATTTGTAACGACCCAGATTTACCGTTAGCAGATATTGTCTTTTTTGGGCTTTCCCTTTCAGGGAAGGTCTCCACACCCTTATAAAAGGTGATTTGTTCTCCTCCCCAACCAATGTGGGATATCACAGCCCCGAAGAGGGATGAATTGTGATATCCCACATTGGTTGGGGAGGAGAACAAAACACCCTTTATAAGGGTGTGAAAACCTTCCCCTAGCAAACGACTTTTATAGTCTTGAGGGGAAGTCTGAAAGGAAAAACCCAAAGAAGACAATATCTGCTAGCGGAGGATCTGAACCGTTACAGTTTAATAGCATCCACCTTGAAAATTGTAAATAACAAAATCATATTTTAAAAGGAAAAGGCTAATATTTAAAAAGTATGTTAAATAGATAATAATAGTAAAGGTAAAATAGAAAGCTAAGAAAATGATCATCAAAACAAAGACCTTAGAACTTGCCTTATTTTGCTTTAAGCCATCAGGTTTTGAAGGAAAGCTTCTTCCTCAGCAAAATGAGTCTCCATCTAACCTGGCAAGAAAATGCAAATCCATGGTGCAAACATGACCACAACTAAACCAAACTAGAAAATGAACAACTAATTTGACTGCTGCTATCAAATTCGTTCCCCAACAAGCGTATCGAAACGGAGCTGTTCGGTCCAGTTTTTTCTTTACATGTTACTTGAAGAACACATTTGCATTTACACAAGAAACAATGATGGTTTGAGTTATCAGGTTCTTTGCTTAACCCGTCTTCCATTGGAATCGCCACCATCGGAGAGTTGAGCCCACATGCTCCGTGATTTCGCTCCGTTGACACTGACGTCCCCACATTGTTGTGCAAGTGTCTTCAGGATCTCCGATTGAAGTGAAGGGTTGTTTTCCTTCAATTGCTCAAAACCTTTTGATTGCATCACAGCTGCACAAAATGGAGATATAAGAATCTATGATGAAGAGAGGCATTTCAAGGCGAGAATGAAGGGCAAATGAGTGTTCTTAAAGATGAGTTTGGGACATTTGGAGGGGTAAAAAGGATTTTCAGCTAAATGGTAATTTTAAAATTCTAATCAACTAGAAGAGCTTTTAGAAGAAGCACAAAACTAGTACTTTTTTGAAAAGTGCTTAACAGATGATAACAAAGGTGCACTCTCATGTGGTCCTTATAGCAAGATCACCGGTAGGAAGTTGACAGAAAGGGAAGATGTTTTAGTAAAAAATTTGCTCAAGCAACAAAAGGCGGAAAAAATGCCCAAACATGATACTTTTAATATGAGATCCCACATCGGTTGGAGAGGAGAACGAAGTATTTTTTATATGGGTGTAGAAACCTCTCTCTAGCATACGCGTTTTAGAAACTTTGAAGGAAAGCTTCAAAGGGAAAGCCCAAAAAAAACAATATCTGCTAGCGGTGGGTTTGAGCTGTTACAAATGGTAGTAGAGTCAAACACCGAGTGGTGTGCCAGTAAGGATGCTGGACCCCGAAGGGGGGTGGATTGTGAGATCCCACATTGATTGGAGAGGGGAATGAATGCCAACAAGGATGCTGGGTCCCGAAGGGGGTGGGTAGATTGTGAGATCCCACGTCAGTTAGGGAGGAAAACAAAGCATTCTTTATAAGGGTGTGGAAACTCTCTCTAGCAGACACGTTTTAAAAACCTTGAGAGGAAGTTCGAAAGGGAAAGCCCAAAGAGGACAATATCTGCTTGAGTTATACACTCAAACTGTTGTGTTTATACAAGACGAAGAAAGAGAGTCAACCGTCTATGCTGTTTCAATGTGAGTGAAGTAAGAAAGGCTGAAACACAATCATGAACCTCCCGAATGTCAAATGGGTGTTCCATAACTCATTAAAGAGAAATCTACAACAATTTACAAGAGCCCAGGAAGTGAAACAACATTGAAAATCGCCAAGGAGAATCAACCAGAAAGCAATGCTATGGGAGATATGATTGGAGTGAAACTATAAATTTTGCTAATAAGGAAAAACTGGGATGATGTGTGAACCCAAGCAGCTATGATATTAATAACCTCGTCTAAGGGTCAGAAGTTCAAATCCTCACTCCCACCCCTCGTTTGATCTCACAAAAAAAACGAGGATATAGTCGAAAAGGTTAGGTCAAGTGCTTTATACTATATCAATGAAAGTAATATTTATTTATCAAGAAAAACATAATATTTCTGTGTTTAACATTTTATCAGGATCATGATGACTAAATCAAAAAACAAAGTACCTCCAAGGTTCATGGCAGCAAATCTCAGGCAAACTACCTTCAATTCAGTGGCATGGTGCTCCTCTGCAAAACTCAGTACTTGTGCAACAGAGTGTACAGAAAGATCTTTACAAAGATGAGATTCACACATCAATCTCAATCTCTCCAAACCATATTTGTCCGCTGCTGCTAACAATTTTGCCATGAAGTTGTCACCCACACAAGATTCAGAAGATGAACTCGAGGTCGATACGACCACGTCCTCGGCAATGGAATCAGTATACATAAAGTGCAGCAAAGCCTGATGAAAATTAAAGCAACTTCAGAATGAAAACATTATACATAATCCAGCGATTAATTGCAACGAGCAACAAAGAAACCAGTACTCATTAAGTGTAAAACAAAAGAGACGACAAAATTAATCGTGTTTATATTATACCTTAAACACGTTAGGTTCTAGATTTTTCACAATTATCTCCTGCTTATTTTTTTCCAACATATTCAGAAATTCAGACCGAAATATAGGTGATCTAGCAGCCAATATCAACTTGTGAGCCTGAAATTTTTCCCCATCAACATCAAAAGCGACATCTGAACCTTCTAAGTTTTCAAGTAGTGCACCAAAATGAGCTCCCATATTAGACTCAGGAACAGAAATCATCTGTGAATGTGGACGCTCTATTGATGAAACGACAACTCCAACAGTGCAATTTATTTGTAGGCAATCATCCTTGAGGTAGTCAGAATTTTCAAGGGTAGATCGTCTAAGAAAACGCTTGTATCCCCTACATTCACAAATCAAAGAAAAGTCAAATCTTCAAGAGATATCTGAGGACCAGTGATAGAAGAGAGAATAATGAAAGTTCAGGAATGGTTCAAGCCTTAAAAACACAATGATTTTTTCCAATGACAAGAACAAAATTTTCATCAAATTATGAAAAGTCCAAAAATAGAGGATAGATAAACCATCACGGAGCTCAAATTCAATAAGCTCATACAATTACTCGAACCGGCATACTATACACGTATACGAGTGACCAAAAGTGAATTCCCAATGCATATCGTTATAGGCTTTTCAAGGCACCCCCTCTTCTTTTTAACCATCATCTCATCCACTAATTTATCGACAACAAGAATTAGAATCAAGCAAGTTGTCTTCCCCAAATATAACACACAAATCATTTCCCAACTTAAATTTTTTTGTATTTAGCTATCCCATACCGCGAGCAAGAAGCAGCTATTATTGATCTATAACAAAGAAACCAAACATTTGAAGCAAGACCACACATACCAAAGGAAGTCACCGTCTGACCCTCACAATATCTCATCTTCATTAATAAACAAAGCCACTTTGATAATTAAGCAAAGTTCCACTTTCTCATATTTCGTGCAGCATAACCTCCTAGCTGAGGTGGGGAATTCCTCTCTTTAAGCAAGATCCCGTAGAAATTTGTCTATTATTCCTCTCAATCAAGAAGCCTACCACAATCTATTGTTTTATTATATGTAAACATGGGTGTTTAGAACAAATTATGGGTATCTTTATTAATTCATATGACACTTGTTTGCCCCCCCAACAGTATTTGGTGTTAAAAAAAAACTTGAGGTTCGAATCACATATTAAATACCTTAATAGGTTGCAATCTTGGTCTACGACTTGCCCCTTCGACATTTGGGCCAATCCATAGGGATAACACTCCCCTTACTTCGAATGAGCTATTTTTATTAAAGAGACAACCAAGAATATACCACTAAAGGTGAGTGGGTGACATTAAGAGGAAGCAACTACCCTTACTATTGATGACCAGCCACAAAGAAAGCCGAACAACTCTTGCATAAACATTCAAAAAATACGAAACTTAGGCAATGATAGTCTGAACAAATTGCACTTAACACTCAAAAAAAACTTAGGCAATGTATGAAATATATATATCGTTACCTTTGTTCCCCGTAACAACGTTGTTAATAACACTAATCAAGGGGTCAAGTTGACTTAAGAGCTCGCTACAACATCTCATTACAAACGTGAGTTTTTGCTAAGAATTTAGATGTCATGGCCATGGAAAACTAAATAAAAAAACAACAATGAACAAAGATATTAACATGAGTAATATAGTATAGACGCGGTTACGTGTTGTAAATTGAAACTCGGGACTAGAATATTCATATTGCAGTATAATACTCATATTCTGTTCTAACACAATCAAAGTTGCAACTAACATGGTTATGGACTAGAATATTCATATTGCAGTAAATTTTTACCAATACAGTAGCGCTGCAAGGTTCGATCGAATCGGGGACCTCCCACTTTGATACCATGTTAAATCATTAATCGACCTAACTTTATCAATACTTTAAGATCACCACATATATGAACACAGAAAACAAAAGGGGAAAAACCTTCCACGATTATGAATGTACATATACACCAATCAAGAGGTTGAATCCTGACGCACGATCAAAGGACTACCACAGGACATAGGTTCACTAATCCAAACGTTGTATTTCTACAAAGAGCAACCTATTCAAGAATTGATCACCTAATCAAGAATTTCATAGTAAAAAATCAAACATACCACATACTACCGCGATACTTCAGAGTATACGGACCACTCTCGAGTGACCGCTCAAAATGGCTATGAACCTTATGCTTCCCATTCCCGCTCTGATCGACAAGTGTGAGTTCAAACAACGCTCTCACATCGGTGCCATCGCTCGCCAGTGCGATGAATATGGAGACATAGGTCGAATTATCCTCAATATTCTTCCCATCCGGATAGAAGTAAACCGCCCATTGATACCCTCCGACGGTGAAATTATCGCTGGCAATGTGCTTTCCCGGTCCCATTCCCTTCGCCAAAGAGTACCCCTGGATGACGAACTTATGCGAGCCATTGAGAGTGTGCGTCACCGACCTCGAGCTCGTCGGCGAGTCGGAGGGGCTCCTCTCCGGTGCGCTGGCGGTGGGGGTATTGGAATTAGTATCGGCCATCTGAATTCATTACAAGGCTGGGATTGTTGTTAAATTCATGGAAGTGGAGGCAGGATTTCGGAGTTGGGATTGAGAAATTGCGAAAATAGATAGAATCTGATGAGGAAATTCTTCAAGAATTTGACGCAAAGAGAGGGGAATTTGAAGAAAACGGCTCAGGGTTGAGCTTTTGTTGGTGGGTTTTGGAAAGTGTATGAAATTTCGCTCAGCTTTTTTCTTTTTCTTTTTTCATTTTTTTTTTTAATATTTAAAACGGCACTTATAATATAATAGTGTTTATAAAAGCCTTCGTCTCCCTCTTTCCACTCACTTCTCTGTTTATCTAATTCATCAGTCTTCTAATGGCGGATCACTCGACCGCCATGATTTTCCCTGATGAAGCTCTCAGAATTGTACTGGAAGTCGCTCAACGCCTTCCTCCCTTCACCGTTTCTCTTCACGATGCTCTAGCGAAGGTCTTGGCCCAGGATATTCGCGCTCCGGACCTTTGCCGCCATATGCAGCCTCCATTAAGGTACTTCCACAGCTCAGTAAGCTTAATTTTTCTTCATCCGGTATTGGATCGTTTTCAGTAGGTTTATGATTGGTGATTTTCTTCGTTAACCGGATGAAAATTTGTTTGCTCCATTCGGAGCTGATGGAATTTTTTAATGGAAGGAATGAGATCATATCGTATTACACGATATACTGGAAGATGTTCTTGATTCCAGTGGTGCTGATGGAAATTGTCTGTGGATTTTTCTTTTTGCTTCGCTGTCTGATTTGAAGAAATGATGTCGATGTTGTGTTAATGTTTGATTTGCGAAATTCTTTCGAATTGCGATGGCTACGTTCATTACATGTCTGCTCTGTATAATTTGTAAAGGATTACTTTGATTCTGGCATTCTGCTACAACAATTGGTATAAGAACATTTTTAGTTGAGCCATTTTCTAAACAACACTTACCAAGGTATGAAAATTTAATGAATCTGTAGGTGAACCCCGAAAGTACGCCGAAGTCAAGCCCACCCTCCTGAACATGGTCGCTGCTGCGGAGCTCCTCCGCTTGCGGCTGGGCTGTGCCAAGTGAGTTTGAGAATACAAAAGAACCTTGAATTCCCATTATGATATAGAGATTGTTAGTAGCAAGTAATTGTAAATATGGCAATTTTATTTCCATCATTTTGAATAAACAATTTGACATATTTGAGTTGTTCACTTATGAACAAGAGCTTCATGACTGGTTCTTCACAATTCTTCATCCACATGACCTTTGTTTGTAACTTTCAGATACAGAATCACAAGAACAGCAATCCCCAAAACCAAAGTCACCATAGTTGTCCTCAATTCCTTCACCACCCCATCAATAACCTGTTTGTACCCTTCTCTTCTCCACAGGAAACTCTCTTCCACCGTTCCCTCACTCCTCCTCCTCCTCCTCCTCTCCTCTGCAACTTCACCTTCCTTCTCTTCCCTTCCATGGCTGCCCTCCTCCTCCTTCCCTTTGCCCTCTCCCATTTTCGACCCAATTTCTTCTTTCCCCCTTTCCTCATCTCTTGTCTCCTTCGAAGCTTCCTTCAGATTTGTGTGTGCTTTTGCCTTCTCCTCCTCTGTTTTTTCCTTTTGGGGAGGGGGGCTTCGTTCCCCATGTGCCTGTTCTTGAGGCTCCTCATTTTGTCTCTGTGGGACAGTTTGTGGGCCGGGTGTGAGATTCTGCTGATCCTCTAATTCTTTGTCTATACCTTGTATCCTTGGGGAAGTGGGGGCTCTTTTGCTACTTGATTGTGATTGGCGTTCCTCATTTCGGCTCTTTGGGGCATTTTGTGGATCAGTTGGTGGGTCGATTGAGGATTTTGCGGCCGCTGGCTTCGGAGGCTCGGCCGGTGGTCGGGGATCAGCTTTGGGTTTCCCGGCCCCCGGCTTCGGAGGCTCGGCCGGTGGTTGGGGATCGACTTTGGGTTTCCCGGCCGCTGGCTTCGGAGGCTCGGCCGGTGGTCGGGGATCGGCTTTGGGGAAAGTAGCGGCAGATAGTTTTTTGGGGTGTTTGACGAAGAGGACGCCATCCTTGAACTTGGCAGAGATGTTGTCGGTGTCAGTATCGGTGGGGACATCTAGCTCCTTGTAGAATCGGAGCCACTTGTTGCCTTCGGTCATCCGTTCGCCGGAGACCCTCAACTTTCCGGTGGATGTCACCTGGACTTTCAGTTGGCTGCTCCTAAAATCTGTAGAACAACAAAACTCGATGAAGAAGGAGAAAGCTCTGCAACTTCAAAAAAAGAAGAAGAAGAAGAAGAAGAAGAAGAAGAAGAAGAAGAAGAAGAAGAAGAAGAATTTATTTATTTATTATTCTCATTTATTATTATTTTCTCTGTTTTATTCTCATTTATGTGTTTATATTTATATGTCTAAATATGTTAATAAAATAATAACTCATTTTAAAGTAAGATTTGTCTTTAAAAAATAGTTTTTTTTTTTTTTTTTTTTTAATTTTAGCTCCTATATTTTAATCTTATTCTAGTTTTTGAAATTTATAGTATAAAAATTATCCTTTGTATTTTCATTAAAATTGGCCTAATATTAATTTATATGGTTAGTTTATTGTTGAGAAAAAAATCATTCATAAGATCTTTTATTTGAAAATACATGTAAAAAATAATTTTATTACTAATTTGTATAAAAATAATAATAATTTCATGACTAAATTTAAATTTTAAAATTTATTGAGATTACAACAAAAATTTAAATGTCAAATTTGAAGGATATAAATAAATTTTCAAAATTTTATTTAAAATAATTTTAGAGTGCGGTTTTCGAATTGCTGAATTGCAAAGAACGAAGAAGGAGGAGGCGAGATGAATTAGCAAACCTTTAAGGGGTACGGTAAGAACACGAGAATCATGATCCTCACGCCAATCACATCTAGGCGAAAAATCCTGGTAATTTTTCGAATCCATCGGTGATGCGTTCGATTTGATTTTCCTCTTCGGTAATTCTGATGTCTTTTTCTTCGCTTCTCTTGACGGAGATTTCGATCGATATCTTCAATGTCTTATGTGCGATTTTTATACACCGAATGACTTGGTATCGATGTTGATTCCAAATCGTGATTTGAAAACCTTCGCCTTTCGAGTTGTCGCGAGTAGGGATTTCTTTGGGATTAGTAATTCCTTCGATTGAAGCTTCCTTTGTGCTTCGGGCAACCCGGTTGTTGGAGGCATAGGGTTAAGAGATATGCCTTTTTGGTCGCTTCATTCTTTGGAAATTTGAAGATTCTTTGTTTCTTTCTTCAACTTTTGATAAAAATTTTAATGTTAGACGAACACCCGCTTTGCTTTGAGCTTATCCAGAATGTTTCGTATTAATGTAGAGAGTATTATTTGATTATAAACATGTGATCATTTCTTAAATTAGCCGATGTGGAAAAAAATTTATTATTATAATTTGGCCTAAAAATATATATTAAATAAAGTCTATTTCATTTTTTTGGTTTTCTTCCACGATATATATTTTTAATTTAGAGTTTTAAAAATTTTAAAATAAAAATTGTTAATAATAAATATTAATTTATAAAAAAGATAATTAATTTAAATAAATGAGGGGTAATTTTTCATAAAATTTGGTGGACTGTTGATGGCCACAAAAATGATAAAATCCAGACGCTTCTTCTTCTTTCTAGAAATCATGCAACGATCTTAAACGCATCTGTGTAAGCTGTTACTTCATCCATTCGGAATCCAAGGTTTGGCCATGGACGTGCTGAAATTCTCTTCTGTTCCACTCCACTTCACTGCCAAACTGAAGAAATCCCGATTTCTGAAGCAGTGTTTGCAGGTTAATCTATTGCCCTCGTTGCCTTCTTCATCGATTAGCCGGCATAGTCGAAGATTTAAGCTCCGTGCGAGCGTATCATCCACCATTTCAACGGAGGAATTTGAATTTGCAAGTCCGTTTGAGGTTGAGGCCGAGAATGAACGGCGAGAGGATGAGAGGTTTGATTGGTATGCGCAATGGTACCCGATTATGCCGATTTGTGACCTCGACAAGAGGGTGCCGCATGGGAAAACGGTAATGGGGATTGATGTCGTGGTGTGGTGGGATAAGAATGAGAGTGCGTGGAAGGTGTTTGAGGATTTGTGTCCGCATAGATTGGCTCCGTTGTCTGAAGGAAGGATTGATCAATGGGGGAGATTGCAATGTGTTTATCATGGCTGGTGTTTTAACGGATCTGGTGATTGTAAGTTCATCCCTCAGGCTCCCCCTGACGGCCCTCCGGTAAGGATTCTACCATCTTCCCCTTGTGAACTTATTGCTCTGCTTCAATTAGAGATTTAACTTTATGGTTGCATCGAATTCAACTTCGAAAGAGTTTTGATTACATATTTGAATCTGGATTGTGATTCTGTTTATTCGACAAGCATTAGTTGATTTGACATGATTTAATGAATAAACGAGAATGTCAGTATAACGATTCACAAATTAACTTTGATTGCCATAAACAAAAGAGATTTCTTATGCTGCTTGCTAGTTGCTGGCACTTTGTTTTGGTGTTCATGGTAGAGATAGCACAAGATCAAACAGTTCAAAGTTGAGAAGCCTGTTAAAGTTAGGCATAGCACTAAATTGTTAATTTACCCATTATTAACATATTTCTACCAAACTGAAATCAACATTACTGATCCTTCTCGTCTCGTCGTTTTTTGTTCCATGATAATATAGTTCAGTAGTAATTTGGAGAAAATGTGCTTAAACTGCTTATTAAGAACATCATTTCATTAATGACAAATCAGAAGAATGTAGTTTTTCTCAATGGATCTATTTCGTATAACACAACTTTTCTTGAATGCTGAAAAACTTACTAAATGATTTACCTTAGATTCAGAATTTGATTTTACTTCCTATTTCTGTCGTTAGTGCATATTGTTCCGGTGGTGAACATTGTTCAGAATCCGACATATTGCAGTAGAAAATGAAGTCGTCTTCAGAAGTTAACAAGAGTGTCATATGCTAAGATAGTTAAAAGATTAAGTATTGTGGTTATATTAGTCAAACTTTAAATAACTGGACAAGAGTCGCTAATTTTCTTCCTTCGATTTGCAGGTTCACACGTCCAAAAGGGCATGTGTTGCTGTTTATCCTAGCATTGTGCAGAATGACATTTTATGGTTTTGGCCAAATAGTGATCCCCAGTACAAGGATATTTTGGTGAAGAAAAAACCCCCTTACATTCCTGAATTGGACGATCCGTCATATACTAAGTTAATTAGTAACAGAGATCTTCCATATGGGTATGGAGAGCCTGATTGTCACTTTTTACTCATCTGCATTCTATTTGATCTTGGCCAGTCTAGTTATAGAGGAATTATGAAGGAAGCTATCACGAATGTAGTTGAACTGTGCTCTTTTTCTCATTTTCCTTTTCTTTTTCCACCGAAAGAAAATCGAATCATTGATTTTAAGCTGAGGAAATTCTATTTAACAAAAAGATCATGACCGTATTCTCCACAAACGGTCTAATTCATAGCAAAAGACTGATTACTAGCTCTTCATAGTAGAACCAACGATGGTGAACTGGATAAGTTAACAATAAGATTGTTACTTACTGTTAGGTGGATCTCAATGTAGAAGACTGTGTTCTTTCCTTTATCACTTAGCTTAGGAGTCATACGAGATGAAAGTTTCATGCACGGTTTTGAATGAGAGAAAGAAGTGAGGAATCCCCCTTTCGACTCTGACTCTCCCACTCAAGTAGTTGCTTTTCTTTTTGTTACTTCTAAAGTAGCTGTTTCAGTTTCAACCACTCGAATTTTCGATATTCCTGTTTATTTCTCACCGAACGAATGGCATGATTACTAGCTAATTCATAGTGGAACCAAAGAGGGTGAACTGGATAGGTTAACAATAACATTGATAAAATGAAAGGAGTTCGAGTGGGTAGATAAGACCTCTCTGTTACTCAACAACTCTCTCTCTTTACACTTTCAGGTATGAGGTTTTGACTGAGAATCTTATGGACCCAGCTCATGTCCCCTATGCCCATTATGGGATAATGGGAAGGCAACAGCCCAATAACAGATGAGTATTCTGGGGTGGAAAGTCACTATTTAATATTGTTTTTCCATGTTTAACTGGATCTGATGGCTAGTTTATATGGAATTTACAGAGAAAGCAGATAGAGAAGGAGGCAAACCAATTGAAATATTTATAAAAGACTTGGATGCGTATGGTTTCATCTCTAATCAGGAACTGGGAAATAGTCAATTTTTTGCACCTTGTGTATTTTACACTTCTTTTAGTTTAAGGTCTAAGAAAAGAACTCCAAAACACCAAGACAACGGAGCTCTCTTATCAGCTGAAAACAACGCGGTAAGAAATCTAGAAACTTCCTTTACACACGTTTTTGGGTGATGAATTTTTTTTTATACTCTTTAGCATTATCCAGACATATTTCTCTTCGCTCGGGGGTATTATTTATTCTTCTTTTTCTGGTTGTATCAGGAAGCCCCGAACACATCACAGAGAAAAGCAATGCTAGTATTTATGTGTATTCCCGTTAGTCCAGGTCGAAGCAGATTAATATTTGTATCTCTAAGAAATTTTGCTATAGGCATTGATCGAATTATTCCAAGATGGGTCTTCCACGTGGGACAAAACCTTATCTTAGATTCTGATTTGTATCTTCTTCACGTCGAGGTAATGACTCATATTCTCAACACATTTGATTAGTTTTTTGAAGTATAGATAAAAATCTTACAATGGTTGGATAATTACTCTCTATCAATATTCATTAGTATAGATAAAAATCTTACAATGGTTGGATAATGACTCATATTCTCAGCACATTCAATTAGTTTGTGAAGGCAATAGCATTAGTGTACTTGAAGAAAACAGTATGTTATGAATGAGCCCTTGATTGTTTCATTTTATTTTTATGATTTTCTCCATCTTTTTATATCTGTTTTCCATTAGAAAGATCTCTTCTCTGGGATGAATGTTTCACTTGTTCTTGAACAGCATCTTATGAGCCCTGCTTGTTAAGCCTCAGAAAAGAAAAAAAAAAAAAAAAGGTTTAATGAATTCATATTAATCCTATGATTATTTTGAGTACATTTTTACAGGAGAGGAAGATATTGGATGTGGGTCCTTCAAATTGGCAGAAAGCTTGTTTTGTGCCAACCAAATCAGACGCCAAAGTGGTTGCTTTCAGAAGGTGGTTGAACAAATATTCAGATGGCCATGTTGACTGGAGAGGCAAGTTCAGTGGCATCCTTCCTCCATCGCCTCCAAAGGAACAGCTGATGGACAGGTAACTCTTTAGCTGCTTCGGTGCGTTAAATGGCTATAATATCGTACAAGTTTCTTATTTTCAAATGTGTTCGTCTCGTGGATTTAGTCGAAATGCAATAAGTTAAGACTCTAAAATCCAACTTATATTCATTGCTATTGGGTCTTTGGAGACATTAAGACATTTTTGAATCTGGTGCATTTCAAGGGCTGTTTAGGTTATTTTGAGAACTGTCTTGTCTTTTTTAATACAAGTACTCAGTAAACAAATGTTTGGATAATTTCTTTGTTTTTCTTGCTTTTTCATTGCTTATTTTCACAGATAATCTACCATTTCGAAGTATCGAATTTCACACCTTTCGTCTTTTTACCCTCACAAACCACTCAAAAATGGTTAACCCAAAACGAAAAACGTTTCTAGGAGAGAACCATGAAACAATCCTTTCACTCAATAACATTTGGTTTTGTTATCGATGAGTTTCTTTGTTTTGTTATCTACTTTCTAAAAACGTTTTCAAAATCCAACTAGTTTTATGAACTTATTTTTGTTTTTGAAATTTAGCTTAGAATTTAAACGTGCACAGATCATTTCATCTCCACCAAGTTTCCTTCCTGTCGTATTTTTGCACATGGTTGTACATTTTATTTTTCATGTTCATCGACATCGATATTTTCATACCCGAAAATACTGAAAGTCGAGAGTGGGCGAACGGTTTCAGGTACTGGTCTCATGTGGTGAACTGCAGCAGCTGTAATGGGGCATACAAGGGTTTAAATGCACTAGAAGTGGTGTTGCAGGTCATCTCCATTGCTTTGCTTGGAGTTTTTGCAGCAACAAACCAGAGTTTGGTATCACGAACTGCTAGAATTGTGATGGTAGCAATGGCTGTACTCTGCTTTGCTGCTTCAAGGTGGCTTTCTCATTTCATTTACAAGAACTTTCACTTCCACGATTACAATCATGCCCTTAGGTGAAATTACCATCGTGCCCCTTTTTAAAATGGTTTATGTATTTATGATACACACAAATAGTGTATAGAAAAGAAGCCTATTTATTTATGTATTTATGAAAGAAACTATATTCATATTCATAATGTCTTTTTTATTCTTGTACTTTTGATGTTGTATTATCCTCTTTTATGTACTTTTCAATGTCTAAATTTAGTCCATATACTTTAAATAAATCTTGTAATTTTTGTTGAAATTGATTAAATAATAAGAATAATTCCTATGAAAAAAAAAGAAAAAAAAAAAAAGAGGGAAACAATTTGAATATATTTTTAAAATTTATGTGTAATCGTCTAAGTCATTATTAGCTGATATTGTTCACTTGCTTTATATGTCGTTAGCTAGACGTGTTTTTAAAATTATGAAGTTGATAACGATACGTAATGGGTTAAAATAGACAAAAAGAGCTATTATAAATGGTATCAAAAGCTATTATAAATGGTATTCAAAAGCTATTATAAATAGTATGAGAGCCTGGAGCTATTAATTAATCAAAAGCTATTATAAAAATATGAGAGCCAGAGTCTATTAATTAATTGATTTTAGCCTGACACTATGTTATTAATTAATTAATTTTAATATGAATTAAATTAGAGTGAAAGAAGTAGGCTATTAATTAATTTTAATATGAATTAAATTAGAACCAATTAAAAGTAGATAATCTTAATTTTATTTTATAAAATAATTATTTATAAAAATTAACTCGTTAATATAAGATATTTTATTTTTATGACATAATTAATTTATATTTTATATAAATTTATCTCATTTATAAATCTCCAAAAAGGAAAAAGAAAAAATAATTGAAACCAATTTACTAAAATTCATATTTAAAAAATTACTATTTGTCACCATCTAAATCTAACTTTTAATTCCCAACTTGACTTTAAACTTGGTAATTAAGTATTTTATATTATTGAAATCCTGATATTATTTTAAGCTCAATAAAAAAATAAAAAAAACATATATTCCCCCCCAAAAAAAAAAAAAAAAAAAATCCTAATCCAACGAGTTCTAAGACAGATTGCAGCCAACTCCAAAGCGCGCCAGTCCTCTGTCTCTCACTTCCATGCCAGATCTCTCCAAAATGGAGCAAACCCATTCTTCCCTCTAACTTTGCGAAATTTCTCGCAATTTCTTGCTCCATTTGGACGGATTGTTGACTCGATTTGAAGATCTGCTTCGAATCCGGACCTGGGGTCTTGAGAAAACCCCATGAAAGATTCAAATCCGACCACAGAGCCCATTGGGCAGCATCTCATTAAGCTGATAAGTAATCTCTGTTTCTCTGTTTTTGTGTTTTCTGTTCTTATTATCACTGTCATTGCCATTACTTACAAGCCTCCAGATCCATGGCTTGAATCTACTCCTGCTCTTACTAAGCTCTTTACTGCCTCTGAGAATGCCACTTTTAAGAACGATGAATCTGTTGTAAAAACTGGGGAGGATTTGGTTTCTGTTCTTCCCCCTGTACTGCCGTCTGCTCAGGGGAATCAGATCACTGAGGCGGTGATTGAAAAATCTGAGGAGGTAATTGCTAATTCTACTCCTAAATTGAGTTGTGATGAATTTCGGGCTGTAAATTGTTCCGATCCGCATATTTTGATTGCTGTTGAGAGGTTTAATTTGAGGGTTTTTAAGTCTATTGCGTTCCTAGAGTATCAAACTCCGGTTAATGGATCAAAAGAAGATGAATGTGATGTTTCTTGGAGATTTAGGAACAAGAAAGAGAAGTCATGGAGGAAGTATAGGGATTTTAGGAGGTTTAAATTTGATGTTGGGGAGGATTGTCATTATAAGGTAGTTCATGCTGGTGGTTGGCATTCAGGTATAAATGCTCGACGACCGAGAAGCAACCGTACAAAGGGTGGAGGAAGTGCTAGAGTTTCTCCACCAGTACGGGATGAGGAGATCAACGACACGATCCCGACGTTGGGATCGGAGATGAATTTCATGAAGGGTAAGTACTTGTACTATTCGCGTGGAGGGGATTATTGTAAAGGAATGAACCAATATCTATGGAGTTTCTTGTGTGGTTTGGGAGAGGCAATGTATTTGAACAGGACGTTTGTGATGGATTTGAGTGTGTGTTTGTCTGGTAGTTATAATCCAAGCAAAAAAGATGAGGAGGGGAAAGATTTTCGTTTTTATTACGATTTTGAGCATCTTAAAGAGGTTAGTTCTATTGTAGAGGAGGGTGAATTTCTGAGAGATTGGAAGAAATGGGATAAAGGCCACAAGAAGAAGAAGAAGATACCTGTTAGGAAGGTTGTGAGCCATAAAGTGACACCAATGCAGCTGAAGAAAGATAAGAAAACGATCATATGGAGGCAGTTCGATGCTCCCGAACCTGAGAATTATTGGTATAGAGTGTGTGAAGGGCAAGCTGCGAAGTATATTCAGCGACCGTGGCATGCCGTGTGGAAATCGAAAAGATTGATGAATATTGTGACAGAAATCAGTGGACGTATGGACTGGGATTTTGATGCTGTTCATGTGGTTCGAGGAGATAAGGCACAAAGCAAAGAGCTATGGCCTCATTTGGATGCTGATACATCTCCTGATGCTATTCTTGAAAAGTTGAAAGGGATGATTCAGCCTTGGAGGAATCTGTATATAGCCACCAACGAACCGTTCTATAACTACTTCGACAAATTACGATCTCATTTTAAAGTCCATTTGCTTGATGACTACAAGGAATTATGGGGAAATACGAGCGAGTGGTACAACGAAACAACGCTTGTAAACAATGGAAAACCTGTCGAGTTTGATGGGTACATGAGAGTTGCGGTGGATACTGAAGTGTTCTATAGGGCGAAGACTCGTGTTGAAACGTTCTATAATTTGACAAAAGATTGCAAGGATGGAGTCAATACGTGCTGATCATGTCGACGACAGCATTACTCGTAGGTGAATCGTGTCCCTTGTTTACTTTGTTATTGAATTTCTTAATGATTTGATGATCGAAACCATTCTGGTTCAAGTTATGCTCGCTCCTTTTTCAAAATTTTATGAATTCATGATTTTGATTCAACTCTCTTGTATTTTTGTAATATACAAACAAGTCTTTACTGATAGCCTAAGCCCACCGTTAGCAGATGAAATTGAGATTTTTCTTTTGGGCTTCCCCTCAAGGTTTTTAAAACACGTCTATTAGGGAGAGGTTTATACACCCTTATAAAAAAAAATGTTTCGTTCCTCTCTCCAACTGATGTGCGATCTCACAACCCAAGCCCACCGCTAACAGATATTGTCTTCCTTGGGCTTTCCCTCAAAGTTTTTAAAACGCGTCGGCTAGGGAGAGGTTTCCACACCCTTATAAAAAATGTTTTGTTTCCCTCTCCAACCGACATGGGATCTCACAATCCACCCCCTCTCTCCCCTCCCTCCGGGACCAGCATTTTCGTTGACACTCATTATTCTCTCCAATCAATGTGGGATCTAACATTTACCTTCCAGTTAATCCTGATTTGCGAATTCAAAGATACTGAACTCGGGATTTGAATGATTGGTGCTAGACTGACTAAGCTAGAGATATCTCTGGATTACCATTAGTTTTTGCTATCAATACACTAAAGAACAGTAATCTATCATGTTAGTATACTATATTGCCATGAATCCTGGTACTTTCCCTGGGCATTTTGATCTGTTCATTGGAGCATAATTTTCGTTGGCCTTAATGCTTTGTTGGTTTAACTCATGCATTTGTGAAGCTGTTAGAAATGGAAAAACATGAAGCATTATGAATTTCAAAAGAAATATGATTGACGACATCAGGATGCATTGTCTGTTGCTCATCTTTCCAGCTAAATATCTTATATTATGGAGCTGAAGCTGGACTGGTAATGAGCATTATTTTCCATTTTTGGTGATTTATTTGTTCTTTTAAGTACTTTTGAACTCTGGTTTGGAAGTTCCTCTGAAAGGTGAATATTTGATTGAATTATGTGGCTGAGTGTGGTTGTAATGGAATGTGTTGTTGTCATATTTGTCTTGTTCTTGGTTAGAACTCAACTTCAATAGCCACAGAATTGAGTAGCTACCAAACATGTTAGAAACTGGGATCCAACCAACCGATACCGACTTAGATGAGCGTTAAGGCATCTATCTTCGGTTAAGAGGTTAAGACAATCCTTTTTGTTATGGCTCTAGCTCTGGTCTCTTGTCGCTCCAACTTTCACTTTAACTCCCATTTTTTCTCTCGCTCGGGTTTCTTATTTTCTTTTCTCGCTTTTCTTTTGCTCTCTTTCACTCTACTTCGTATTTGAAAACCTAGGAGGGTTGTCGACAATGGAGATACGTCAACCGTAGGAGAATTGTTGAAAGGTAGGGATCTCACCACTTTACTTCATATCTTAAAGCCTATAGATATCAGTGGTAGAGGGTTGTTGACGATGGAGATTCGTCAACAGTAGAAGGGTTTCAAATGGTAGGGATCTCGGCACTCCACTTCATATCTAAAAGCCTATAGATATCAGCAGTAGGAGAGTTGTCGACAATGGAGATTCATCAACAATAGGAGGATTGTCAAAAGGTAGGGATCTTACCACTCTACTTCATATCTGAAAGCCTATAGATGTCAGCGGTAGGAGGGTTGTTGACGATGGAGATTCGTCAACAGTAGAAGGGTTTCAAATGGTAGGGATCTCGGCACTCCACTTCATATCTAAAAGCCTATAGATATCAGCGATAGGAGAGTTGTCGACAATGGAGATTCATCAACAGTAGGAGGATTGTCAAAAGGTAGGGATCTCACCACTCTACTACATATCTGAAAGCCTATAGGTGTCAGCGGTAGGAGGGTTGTTGACAATGGAGATTCGTCAACAGTAGAAGGGTTTCAAATGGTAGGGATCTCGGCACTCCACTTCATATCTAAAAGCCTATAGATATCAGCGATAGGAGAGTTGTCGACAATGGAGATTCATCAACAGTAGGAGGATTGTCAAAAGGTAGGGATCTCACCACTCTACTTCATATCTGAAAGCCTATAGATGTCAGCGGTAGGAGGGTTGTTGACGATGGAGATTCGTCAACAGTAGAAGGGTTTCAAATGGTAGGGATCTCGGCACTCCACTTCATATCTAAAAGCCTATAGATATCAGCGATAGGAGAGTTGTCGACAATGGAGATTCATCAACAGTAGGAGGATTGTCAAAAGGTAGGGATCTCACCACTCTACTTCATATCTGAAAGCCTATAGATGTCAACGGTAGGAGGGTTATCTACAATGGAGATTCGTCAACCGTAGAAGTGTTTCAATAGGTACGGATCTTGCCACTCTACTTCATATCTAAAAGCCTATAGATGTCGGCGGTAGGAGGGTTGTCAACAATGGAGATTCGTCAACAGTAGAAGGGTTTCAAAAGGTAGGGATCTCGGCACTCCACTTCATATCTAAAAACCTATAGATATCAGCGATAGGAAGGCCGTCGACATCGAAGATTCATCAACAATAGGAGGGTTGTCAAAAGGTGGGGATCTCATCACTCTAAAATATGATTATATGATTTGATATGATGCCTTCTTCCTAAATATCCGTCCTTTTCGTGTTTAGGACTTAATATTATTATTATTTTCTAAATTATTAATTAAATTTATGAATTAAGAACTAATTATACTTTAATTAAATTTGTATTTATTTCCTTAAAATGATATATATATATATATATATATATATATATATATATATATATATTGCTTTTGTATTAAGGCTTTGTTTGCTTGAGTTGGACGCAATTGCCCACGTTATTCATGAGCTTTTGTTATCCAGCCATTTTTTAAATATATTCTAAATAATTAAAAAATATAATATTAATAATAATAAATAAATAAATAAATTATTTGAGTAACTTTATTCCAAACCCCAACAAGGTTATCATTCCCTTTTTAAATACTTTATAATATAATTCCTTTATTAAAACGTTTCTTAAAAATGTCAAAAATCCACGTTGAAGATTTTGTAAAAAAAGAAAAGAATCTAATTCGAGCATTTCCGTTTGATGAAAACTCAAGATTCTCATGAGATGAGCATCTGACATGTGTAGCATCTCGGGATGCCTATATATCTTAGGACGATGAATTTAATAAATTTTTGAATATTCGATTCAATAAATATTTAGTTTTTTATTTTTAAAATTAACCTTACCCTTTTCATGCCATTTTCATTTTGTTTTCTATTTTTTTTCTTGATAATTTTAAAAATTAGAATTTTATTAGATAAAATTAATAATTAATCTTTTTTCGTATATATATATATTTAAATAAATATTAAATTTGGAATAAGGGAAACAGATTCACAAATTGGACCAACGCCGCGCTCGCCCTTGAGAAGCTCGCCAACATAGGATTTTCCCTAAATGTGAAATCCCATAAATACCCTTTCGGTATTTACTATGTTTACCATTTTCTAAAAATAATGAATTAAAGATAATTTACGGCATCGGTTAAAAAACAAAGTTTTTTTTTTTGACAAATAAATGAATAAATATTATATATATATATATGACTCGATTGCTTAAATGCTTTTTTATATGAATATTTAGCAACTAATTATTTTAAAATCTCTTAATATATAACATATTTAAACTAATTGGTTGAGTATAAATAAAGAAAATTTTACAAGTCGTTTTTTAAAAAGGCGAAAAGGGTAAAATTGTAAATTTGGTTCTTATGATTCAAAAAAATAGAGTCGATAAAAAACACGAGACTATTCGATAAAACTATCATTTACAATTTTAAATTTGATAGTATATGATCTAAAATTAAATATTTAAAAATATGTATTAAAATAATATTTATTAAATTTTAGGAATTAAAAAAAAAAAAAAAACTAAAAATCAGCTTAAAGTAAATAAAAAATGAGTTTGAAATCTGATTTAGAAACAAACCCTAATTTGCGATGGAACAAAAAGGGTTTTGGGGTTATTTTTAACAACATTTCTGTAAAAGGAATCAAAATTGGGGGAAAAAGCCAAGAAAAAATTGAAGATTTGCAACTGGGAATTAGCCATTTTCACCGATCGACGAGGACTCTGAGGTCCGCCATTAAAATCAACATCACCACCTTAAATTAAATTAATTGTTGGACAGTTGCCAATTGCCGCTGATCGAGAGGGAAGAAAGCAAGGGTTTTTGGTAATACATTTCACGCTACTATAAAGCCTCATTTCCTTCACTGTTCTGTTCCTTCTCCTTTGCTCCAGCCATCGCGTTTTTTCGAACCCAGAAACCATTTTCGATTTCTTCTTCTCTCCCCCATTTGAGCTTTTTGTCTTAACTTTTCATTTCAGCAAATGGGTGACGAGAAGAAGCCTAAATCCCTTGGTGTTTGGCCCACCGTCAAGCCCTTCGTCAATGGAGGCCTCTCTGGTATGCTTGCGACTTGCGTCATTCAACCCATCGATATGATCAAGGTAACACAAATCTTCAGATTTACCTGCTACGTGTGAGGAATCTTTGTGATTTAACCGGATTTTGTTGCTTGTTGGTTCGCTGAGATTTTGTTTTTCATTGAGTTCGGATTGGAGTTTCTTGATGGAATTTAGATCTAGGGTTTTTTTAGGGTTTTTTTTTTTTTTTTTCTGTCTTTTGGCTGTTTTATGCGTTTTTGAGTTTATTTGTTGTTTTAATAATGTGTTCTTGATTTGGTTCAGGTGAGAATCCAGTTAGGTCAGGGCTCGGCAGGCGAGGTAACCAGGAACATGCTTAAGGCGGAGGGAGTTGGTGCTTTTTACAAGGTGAGTTTTAAAGATCCAGTTGAAGTTTGTGATTATTACTTGAAATGTACTGTGGATCTTGTGGCGTGTAACATTGTAGAATACTGGCTTGGTATTAACTTTCTTGTTGGTTTGGAGATCTTGTCCCTTTGAGGTCTTTTGAGGAGCCAAGAAGGATATTCTGGTTTAGAGATTGACTTATTGATCCGATTTGTGCTGGTATTGATTGTAAATGGTGGATGGATCAACTTCTATCCTACATTACAATCTTGTTTTCTGTTTCGAAAACTGTAAGAGATGTATGATTTTTGCCACCCGGTTAGGATTTTAAGATCTTGTGAATTTTCGGTCTACT